GGCAGCTTTGCTGTCGTCCGGTTTAATAACACGCCTAACCTAGTGGGGCCTTATGTGGTTCGCCACTCCAAGTCCCGGGGCTTAGGTTACCGGTTCCCACCACTGAACAGCAGGTCTTCGTGACTATGGGGGTTACCCCGTCTGCTACTCATCACACTAAGAGTGTGCAATAAAAAAAGCACACTCCGAAGTCACCTGTTACCGTCGTGCTTCTAATGGGGTCGTGTCGGAACAATCAAAGTCCCCCTTGTTCTCATCATATTTAAATTTTTGTTTCATCTGCCGTTGCTAAAATAATCGTCTGGCAGCACCTGGCTCACAATCTGTAACGATTTTTCAGAGTATGCGCTACATCATATTGGTAACAAAAAGGAGTCAAAAGGGTGAGCAGACGGTCCTTATGAATACCAAAGCCATAACGTCCGCTTAACCAAAGATTCGTTGTGTTCTACGGTATTAAAACGTGAGGCATTGTTTATGCTTCATAAAGAGTAAGACACAAGCGTTTGCCACGTCAGGTTGCCGCTCCGATGCCTCAGAGCGCAGCAAAATAGCCTGTATGCTAATGCATCTCCTTTCGTCCTAAATCAAAAATTTTTTTAATTTACGTCTTACTGAAGAGGCCAACAACTGGATTCTAAAAAGAACTTTAGAGTGAACTATCCTGCTCTTTGGAAGCACCTTTGTATGAGCATAGCATATCGTCCATCAGCCAGTAAAGTTGTAACCATGAGAAAAGAAACTGGAATGAGCCACTTACGAAGGAGTTCGAATCCCTCGTATACGACATTGGTTCCAGAAAGGTCGATAGATTCAATTTTCAGGTCGCCCACAAAACGCTTAGGTAGACCAGGAGGGAGACCTGCGTACCGCTGAAACCACCTCTCACTTCCAACGAATTGTACACGGCCACCAACATTGCAAATCATATGAGCAACCGCTAAATCCAATCCTAAATGTTGTATAGCTGAGTCTGAAACACTGAAAAGTGTAAGGGAATAACATTTTCATACATTTGTCGTCGTTTGTTGCGTTCTTTCACACGCTCACGCATCCATCCTATAAAAGCAATCATGTCTAAGTCATGTTTATACGTCAATTTTATATGAAGTTTAGTGAACTGGTCACCAAGTGGCTCCGTTTTGGGATCAATCAAGCCCGTTCGTATTTGCACTGTTTGTCCATTTCTGTTAACTTCCATCACCTTCCTTTAGATTATTAACCGCAAAAATACCTGTGGTTTACAATATATGGAGCGCGTGAATCCTTCATCACCAAAGCTGGGTTTATCCGAGAAAACCCTCCAGAATCCGTTAGTCAGAGGAGCATTGAGACGGAAAAACAACCTTGAGAGTTGACGCATATTTCAATTCCGCGCGGTTCAGTTCAGTTCAGTTTGCACAGGACGATGTGTGGCCCGGGCCAATCTTACGTCCAAATTGATGTGTTGTTGGCTGTTCTTGTGGCTTCCAACACTGCGAGTCGATAGGTTTTTTCTGAAAGGCAGAAAGTAAGGTGCAGTTTCACGTCCTGGGCAATGGCGCTCAGGAATAATAGGTACTTACCATCAAACTGCTTCAGGGAAGGTAGAAGTCCAACAGTCATCTAATGCCCTCTTGAAGGCAATGACGTTCGAGCAACTTACCACCTTTTCTGGCAGATTATTTCAGTAAGGTATTACGCGACTTGTGAAGAACTTGGCTCGAATGTCCAGTCTTACAA